AAAAATTCTACTTTTTTCTCCCGGGAAGGACAATTACCTGGGGCTGCTCAAGTCTCACAGGTCAATTTCTGGCTTCAGTGCCAATGCCCACAGGGCATGTTGGGCATGGCCAAGAGACGTATGACTTGGTAACGACACTGGGTATGAGTCTCAAAGTCATCTCTACAAACTACCACCTGTACATAGAGTAACGAAGCACCTGATTGCTGCCCCAGCTGACTGGGGGTGCCATCAGTAAGTATGGGTATAAGATATGGGCTCATTTTTTTTCCTTCTGAGTACTAACTTATAAAACTCTGTAAGAAAGGTACCAGCAAACGCGAGGAAATTTAACTAAGTTTGTTGCTAAATTTTAGATTTGACAACAAAATTACCACACATAAAAAATTCAGGGATTTTTTTGCATGGATTCTCAAGATAATCATAGAATCATAGTAGTACTATATAGTTCTGCAGGTCTATGTTGCAACTTTATCCTACTTATCCTGAGCACACAACACTACTGAGACAGCAAGACAGTGGAGCACTACCTATGGAGAACTGTGTTAGCATCCTTTGACATTATTTCTTAAGTCTGTGTGGAACCCAGGCAGTGAGGCCATACCCATATGGGCTTCCGTACTAATATGAAGTCTTTATGTGCGCATCTCCCTTCTCCAATAATCGGCATTGCCAGGCAAACACTGGAAAACGTGTGAGGGGATCATCCCTCCCAACAGCATGGTACTTGCTCAAGACCATGCTGAACTCACACCTCCTTGCTCCCTGACTTCTTGGAGTTTTGGGAGCCATGTGAGAAAGAGGGACAAAGCTACAGGGGACAAGACCTGTAATAGCTTCAGAGACTTCCTGACTTTTTAGTCCACACCGCTTGTGATGGGCTGGACACGTATCCAGTCTCTAGCGAATGGGCTGTGGAAAGAGGAGGGAACCTCCACAACGGATCAGAAACACCGACAGGCACCCGCCCCGTCAACACTATTCCTGCTTGCTGCTCTGAAGAACAAGCCACCGTGTTTTAGAGGGTCTTTGGGGAGATAGTGAGGATATTCTCTGGACCATGAGGGATCCCTACCAATATTCATGCAAAGAAAGTAGGGATGGACCATTCCTTGCCACAGTCTTAAGATGTGACTGTAGTCTAGACAATGATGATGATGATGATGATGATGATGATGATGATGATGACAGTTTTTGAGGCAAGGTCCTGATCTATAACTCATTATACAACTCAGTACATGCATGACAATGAAGTTTGCAGGAGAAAGGGGACGAGTCTTGCTGTGTGTTCAGGATCAGCAAAATAAAGATGCTACAGAGATCCTCAGAACTATAGTACTGGATTCATAGCAGTCCTCCTGCCTCAGCGTCTCAAGTGTTGGGATTATAGATCTGTGTCAACAGCTAACCTGAGCCTTGATTTCTGATCCACAGAAACCCAAAATATGAATACTGCTTGCTTTAAGCCAAGCGTGTTGAGGTCTCTTGTTACACGCATCGGTGACCGAGTGACTGGGCCTTTATTTAGACCATCTTTTGAACAAAATGCTATATTTGGGACAGAATGGTGTTAAAAGGCTTTAAAAACAGTCCCTCTCTATGTCATTTTTAAACCTCGAAGTCAAATTATGTGCAAATACTCGGGGCTTTTTAAAGAAAGTGTTATCCAAGGAGGAATCTTTCGCAGATAGATTTTCTCTTTTCTCTCACAAAGTGCATCTGTATTTTGAAAGGATCTAAGATATTGCGATTTAAGTTATTTTTTCTCTTCCACCGTGGAGCTTAGGAAGTGTGTCACGCTTGTCAGCCACTCTCTGCGTGAAGGAACAGGATTGCACTAATGAAGCAAGTTTGTTTCAAAGCATTTTTTTTTGGGAGTTAGTATCACTTTTAAATTACAAATTAAAAACTACTATTCCCCTGACACCCAGCTTAGTTCTAGGAGAATTCTCCAGAAGATGTGCCCTAAGAAATGACAGGAAGTTCTTTCTATCTCTGAAACAGAACTCACATGACAAACATTAGCTGTTTGAGGCAGGAATAATCTTTAGGTAAGAGAGAAGATTGTGAAAATAGAAAATACATTTGTGATCATAAGTCTGGGACCACACACATAGGAACACGATACTCCACATTCCAGGTACATTGCTTATGAACCTACAGATACTTTATGTCCAGAAAACAGGTAAAAGAAGACTGAATTTATTCCCTCTCAAATCTATGTGATAATTGATACTTTTACAGGGAGGTGATCATGGAGTTCCAACCTTAACCAAGAAGCTATTTGTAGTTGACGTTGGGAGAGGGAGGATTGGTTTCCTCCAATGGCCTGCGTGACACTGGGTGACTGGGTGATCAACCACACCGGGGCAGTCCCTATGCTTGTGGGTAGATGGCCAAGGAAAAGTGAACCCCTATGTTTTCAGGTGTGCATTGTTTGTTCTGAATTTTATTTTCCAAGAGAAAGGGTGTCTGAAATTGGGTAGACAGGGAGGTGAGAAGGATCTGGGAAGACCTGGGGAAGGGGAAAGAATGCAATCAGAATATATTGCATGAAAAAAAATTAATACAAGCACTATGTTAAAACTGAAAAACTGGCCCCTTGGGAAATGCTATGTACCCCAAATCTTTTACTGTGCAGTGTAGTAAGGAAGAATTTAACTTTAATTACAGTTCTCTGATTCCTTTGCATATGAGTTCTTTTATATTATTAGTAAATTAATCATTATATTATTAACCTAAGCCTCTTAATAATAATTACTAGCCACAAATTAGAAAGTCTTGTTCTACCCCACTTATTCCATAATTACAGGTTAAGATGTTCCCCATGAAAGCATCCACTCCCTTCTCTAGAAATGTTTACAACTTTGATCATCTGGTCAGGAAGTCCTCCCCGATGGACAGGCAGGAATCCATGCACATCCCCTTTCACGGCTCCTCCCAAAGCAGAAGGGATTCTGGGAATCTGTCCTCATAATGACGGCACGGTAGCCACTCAGTACTGAATTAACAACTACTTCTGCTCAAGTTAGAAGTAAATATCTACTTTCAATCATGGGATGTTCATATTTTGCTGGCTAGGTTTTAATTGTTAACTGGACACAGTTTAGAACCTGCTGGGGAAAGGGACAGCTCCACTGAAGAGCCGCCTCCTCCCTCCGAGTGCTTTGTGCAAGTCAGTGAGTTACTGTCTTGACTGATCAGAGAGGCCTCAGCCCTAGCAAGTGGAGCTGGGCTGCATGAGGAAGCTGGCAGAGAGCAAGGCGGAAAGTGATCCAATCCCTTCTTTATGTTTCTCACTCCAGGCTCCTGCCTTGAGGTTTGGCCCCAATTTCCCTTGATGATGGATTGTGACTTGCAAGAGTCAGCCAAAGAAACCCTTTACTCCCCTGAGTTGCTTTTGCTCATGGTGTTTATCACAAGAAGCAAATACTTATATATGTATATATATATATATATATACTTTTATTTATATATGTATATATGCTTTTATTGTTCTCTGAATCCTTTCAAAGTCCTGTATTTTCCTTTGGCTGAGAAAACAAATCGAACTTTTATTTTGGGCCCTACTTTAAATTTCAATAAAAACAGCTGAGAGAGAAAGGGTCACATCAAGGGTCTCATATCTAGCTAGTGTTCCATGTGGTAGAGACTCACGTTGAACAAAATCATCTCTACCAAATGGCTGTCAGTAGTGATGGGACTGCAGCGTGTCCTTAGAAAGGAGTCCTGGGGAAGGGGAGGAGTTGGCACAGGACATGGCACAGATACATGGAACCTAACACAAGAGCACTCCTGCGCCGGTGAGAGCCTGACAGCGCCCTTCAGAACATTCTGAAGAACAAACACAGCTCTGCCTTGAGGGTTTCTGGAGGTGGGACACGCTGGATCCCACTCTTGGACGGCTTGGTGATTAAAAGATTCAAGAGAACCTGAACTTCAGGCTGGCGCAGTGAATCCAGAGTGCTGTAGGTACCTGTTGGCATCCACTCCAGCTCTGGAAGTTTCTGAGAGAACCGTGCTCTGTGGACACCACGCCCAGTCACACAGAGCTCAAGGCTGCCCCTGACGGCTGGGCACAGCAAAAGAGACAGTGGCAAGGCGAAAGACCTCCTTTGAGAATTCAGACTCACCCGATCAAACGGACCCAGATGCCCAACTGTCCCCGAGAATTTAGAGATGGAAAATGAACACTCTTGGATAACAGACATTCAAAAAATTAAGATAGACTTTCAGTGGTCTACATTCATTAGAATAGAGTTGAAATATCCACAAAAAACCTGGTTGCCAAACTTTAGAAAATTTTAGAATTGGATTACTTTTCGTCAGTCACCAACTTCCCAGCCTTTTTCACGGGATAAAAACCAGTACCTCTCCCGCACAAGGCTCACCACAGAGCCTCTCTGACACGAGGCACCTCTCAGGGGCTCTTACCCCATGGGAGGGGCGGGAAACACTAATGAGATGATCTCAGGAGAACTGGAGACCAGTGAACTGGAAGGGACTTAGAGCGAGAAAGAGCCAGGCAGGGAATTGATGTTTAGGCAGCTGCTCCAACCCAGGGTGAGACTTTTTAGCAAATTTCAACAAGATTTTAGGGGGTGGAAAACTCATAAAGCACCAAACAAACCAGAGTACACATAAGGGAAAGTGACTCAGCTTTCAGCAGGACTCTGGCAAGGCCAGGGAGTGCAGGTAGGAACTGCTGGCATCTGCCTTTTGTTTTAGGTCCAAAATCGATCATTTCACTGGGAACTGGGGAAGTCCAAGGGGTATGTGCTCAGAACATCTCTCCAAAGGAGTCATTGTTGTTCCTGCCAAGAACGTTTTTATGTCTCTCCTCTCTCCCATGTGGCGGTATGTCACAGGAAAGAGGCTATCCCAGATATGCAAACTGTCTCAGGGTTGGAGATCATGAGGAAGGTGCATTCAGGAAGCACTCTCAGAAGATAGCAGAATAGAAAACGATTCCTCTACCTAAGGGGAAGAGGCAGACTCACCGGTTCCACGTTATAGGAAAACAGCGCATACTCTCTATCCGGGGATATTTCGTATCTGACGGCTCTTAAGAATTCCTAAAGGAAAAAAAAAAGAAAACAGAATTTACAGGTGTTGCCTGTAACAACTCTGAATCTTTTCGCAACACTGGAGCCATCCTCAAAATCCTCTACTGAGATAAGTTAAGGAGGGAGCCAGCAACATTAAGTATGGTTATATCTTTTCTTAGTTAGCCAATCAAAACACAGCTAATTGATGCTTTCAAAAATTCTATTTGTGCTTTATTTCAAGTTTCAAAAAAATGGTCCTTATTGTGTCTGTTGGAACAAATCGATGGACACAAACATAAAAACAAACATTATTTTCCTGTAAGGCGGGCCCCCCCGGGGGGGGGGGGGGGGGATTATCATCTTTTTCTTTCATTTTTACATTTAGACTCATATGCTAAGCAGAGTTTCTACCAAAACAGAAGCAGATTCTGCACACTGTTCCATAACTTGTCTCTTCAGCATTGTGGGATTCCCCTTGTGGGACTCCCTGGGAGTCAGCACACAGAGGGCATGCTTGCTTTTCCATCAGATTCCTTTGTATCCAGCCCTCACTATGAGTATGCGCATCACCAACCATGAGGTTCCTTGGACCTACTCTGCCCTGGCACACACTCCTGTTCTGACCCCACCCCACCCCTAGGGCCCTCATCATCGGTCTGGTGTCCATCATTCCATGGTGCTGCAGTGACCACTTGGAGAGTGAGCCACGCCGTTGGAAGTGACATGCCTTGTGCCTCAGCTTCTTCTCGAGCAATGAAACCTTAAGAAAAAGATTGCAAAGACGTGGTTTGTCCAGATTACTGCTCTCTGTGCTAATTGTGTCACCTTCATTCATGCAGTCCTCACTACAGGCAGGGTGGTTCTCAGTGGCTGCATTCCCAAAGTCACCATGAACACTAAACCAGTGTACACTGGATCCTCATACCCAGGGGAACCCAGGACTTTGCTCCTCATGCCTTTGTGTCCACATTTTTATCAATGCAATTTTGCCTTATGCATTTTTGTTTAAAGATACCTTATCAGTTAGACATGGCCAAACCATTAGCTTTGAACTACTGGCCAGAAACACTGTAATAGCTACACAAAGCCGAGCCTGCACCCACAATGTCTCCACTGGATGCACACACTACAACCTTCCGGTTCTCAGGAGCACTAGACCAGGGAGCCCCTGTAAGCGCGGGATCACCCACAGACAAACATGTGGCAAACACAGTGCTCTGCAGTCCACAGGAGAAAAGCAACTGCTCAAAGTGTGAGAGCTGAGCAAGAAAGCAGAATGTTCTGTGCTCTGTATCAGCCGACACACCAACGCAGGACCGATGCAGGATGGCTCGAACGTGTTCCTGCCATGGTGGAGATGACGCCAGTGTGCTCAGAGTGTGATTGCCCTGTGGGGGGCAGTAAACCTTACTACATCACACACCAACGCAGGATGGATGCAGGATGGCTTGAATGTGCTTCTGCCATGATGGAGAGGACTCTAGAGTGTGATTACACTGTGGGGTGCACTAAACTTTACCACATGGGGATTTGCAGATCTAGAAACTGTGAACAGGGGAACAACTGCACAGCTGCTCCCAGCAGCTGTGACCACAGTGCCCACACATCTCTATGGATGTGGGCATGAATCTGTTTTCATAGGTTAGGCATTTAAGGGCTAGAATGATGGTGAAGGGTGGTTTTAAAACAAGTTCAACAGATTTTTATAAATCACCTTCCACAAATGGCATTCGTACCCCAATGTGGATATATGGACACACAGTCTCACCCTCCTCTGAAGTAATTTCTAACGTGATCTTCCCTCAGTTTCGACCATTGGAGGTCTAAGTCGGGGCTTCTGTGGTAGTTTAGCTCCTAGGCACATTCATTCTTTGCTACAGGTAATGTTGGCCTTATCCTCACAAGATTGACCAGACAAATATGTGCTAAGGTTCCCATGCTCTCTCCTGAACTCCTGTATCCTACTCCCAAATTCCTGCATCCCCCCCCCCACTATTTTGCCCAAATCACTCTTCTCCAGGTGCCCAGGGTGTTGTTTTGGTAAATTCCATAGTTCAACTCTTACCATATTAGACTATGTATCCTTCCTTCTCTCCACAATACTGTCTGCTCTTGGCTTCCAGCACACATGTGCACGACTACATACACAGACACACACATGCATGCATTCACTTACAGATACACATGCATGCATGCACTCACAGACACACATGTATTCATGTACTCACAGATTCAATGTATGCATGTACTTACAGACACACATGCATGTATGCATACACACACACACACACACTCCTCCTATTCACCCCTCCCACCTCCCTTCCAAGTCTTTTCCTGCTCTTTAGTCTCTTACAGTCTCTGGCTCCAAGTCTGGAAATGCAGGTCTAACATTGGGCCCTTCACTTTTCTAGAGAAAACCACTCCCTAAGTGATGCTAGCTAATCTCGGGATTATAGTGATATTTTATTTATGTTTTTAATAAATAAAACTTGCCTAAAGATGAGAAGGGCAAAGCTAACTCACTAGAGGCCAGGCATTGCTGTCACATACTTTTAATCCCAGGATTTGGGAGACAGAGGTAGATGGATCTCTCTGAGTTTAAGGTCACCCTGGGCTACACAAGATCAGTGCAGAAACAGATCCAGGTGGTGCTGGCTCACACCTCACACCTTTAATCCCAGAACTAGGGAGTCATGCACCTTTAATCCCAGAACTAGAGGGAATATAAAATGGGAGGAGAGAGAGGCTCTGTCTTCTTAGTCTGCAGTCACCCAGCCTTGGTAGAGGTGACACTTCTTTAGTGGCTTGGCTGCTTTGCTTTTCTGGTTTTTGGGTTGAACCTCAATATCCGTCTCTTATTATCAGTGCTACATGTGGTACCCAACATTTTGGGTACAAATTCACGAAGAAGTCATTTGCCCAAAGACTCTAAAAATCATACTCCTGCTATGAAGGATTCCAGTGTACACATCCCCTGAGGAGATACCGGAAGCCTGGATGGGGCCTTAAGCAGACAACTGTCTCCTGGCAGCTCTGCCTGGATGTCTGGTCCTCATCCTCCTGTCCTTTGTCCTCCCTTCCCAGTCCCTTTGCTTCTCCCTCCTCTCAGATGAAGGTAACTAACTGCTCACAGTGACTCAGTCGGCTCCCCTCTCCCGCACTGCCGCCCTCTTCTCTCCTGTGTTCTCTTTTATATCTTCTATTCAGTCGCTCAGAATTCTCTGAGCTTTCTGTAGAAATATGTTCTAAGCCCCCACGCTCTTGCTTCAGCTTCCACCCTCACCTGGGTGAGCACATTTCTTTGAGCTCCTTCCTTGGTTCCTGACTCCATTGGCGAACAGTCAGTCTCTCCTCCGTGGTCAGAGTGTTACATCATTAAAATGTGTAGATTACCATCTGGTTCCCCGTGGGAAATCCCCATCAGCTCCCCACCTCTCCAGAGGTCATCACTACAGCTCTGATGACCAGCAGGCCCAGCCTGGCCCTGTCCCCTCCCTGCAGTCTGCCCACGTTTCCTCTTCTTTGCCCTTCACTCCTGGCATTCCTTTCTCTACACCTTCCCAGAGCAGGCAAAGCATGCAACCATGCAAGGTTTGCATTTCCTCTTCTCTGCCTGGAATGGTCCAAGCTTTCATTTCCTTAAGACCACCTTCTAAGTAAGTCCTTCAATGGCTAGTAGACAGATAGAGTAACACTCAGCCTTGTCTCTGTTCTCCACAAAGCGATATTCTGTTTGTTTTCCTGTGACCTAGCTAACCGTTTTCTAAGTTAGCACCTACTCAATCCATTTATCTCACACTGTCTGTTCTCCTCAAAAGGAAGGCTGCTTGTTTCAATCTTCAGTCTCCCTCAACAGTTCTGTAGTTTTTTTATGCAGGTCTCACCTTTGTTTTGTTACGTTTATCTCTAACTATTCAACACAATGGATGTTTCAGAGATAGGAAAATAGATGATGTCCCAATGTCAATATACAATCATGAGCTGCTAATATACAGGGGATTGATTGGATTTGGGCATCAACTTTACATTAAGAAGTGTTTCCAAGTTTGGGTTTGTGACTTTAAAACACAGAATTCTTGGAATCTTCGTTATAGTCATCTTTTCTATGGGTAGATTCTTCTCTTCCTACCTGGTACTCAATACCACTCCACAGACGTGCTGGCACCATGAAGAAGGTGGGCATTGCTGGTTTTCTGGACTGTGAAGAAGAGGCAGCCAGCTTTTGCCCTTTTGTATGGTAGCCTCAAAGTCTCTCTGTAGGTGATGTCATCTGCCTGCTCATTATTACCTTGCTCTGAGATTTCTTAATGAGTGTGTGTTGGGTTTGATGATGTCTTTCCTCTATGTATGAGGTGATTTTGTATGTGTAATGTTGTTTTGTTCTTTTTAGTCTGTCAATATGATAAATGATGTTATTTTATCTTCAGATGTGAAGTCAGCCTTACATTCCCAGAATAAATTATAACCAGCCATGATGAATTATCTCCTGTGAATGTTTCTGGGCTCAATATTCCCATGTTATTTTGGAGATTTCTGTATCTGTGAGCATGAGGGAAATAGTTCTCTAATAGTATATTGGTTGTGTTTTCATCTCAAGGCACTACTAGCTACAGAATCGACTTAGGAAGCATTTCTTCATCTTCTGCTATTTGTTCTGTCGTTCTCTGTTTTCTATTACTATAACAAAGGATCTGAGAAAAATTTATAGAGAGTAATAGTTGATTTGCTTCATAGTTCTGCAATCTGGAAAATCCAAGAGAGAGACGTAGGCATCTGGTGATGTTTGTCCAGCTGCACTGTGACATTGAGAATGCAGCAAGGGTACCAACTCAGTGTCTCTTCCTCTTGCTACAAAGCCACCTGTGTCACCATAGGACCAGATCCCCAAAGCCTCATCTACTCTTGATTGCTACAGAAGAGTTCCACCTCCAAATCCCTGAAGGATTTGAGGGCTAGTTTTCTAACAGGAATTTTGGGGGACATATCAACACCATAGTATAGCTTTGCATTAAATTGATATCTCTTCA